CAATCAGGGATCAAGAAGTAATAAAAAAAAGTGCTTGCTGTTTAAAAAAAATCAAAAACTTTTTTGGCAAGGTTCAGACAGCTGTTTCCTGAAATCAAAGAGTTTCTCAAGTCGTCTAAACAAGGTGAATATGCCCAATTAGAGGATGTCCAGTGGCTTCTGGATTTAGCAGTCCTCACAGGCTTGACTGAACTTCTGAATGAGTCATCGACATGATCAACCGTGTCAACACGTTAAAAAATAAAATTACAAATGTTCTCAAGTAAGCTTCTCAGTGCCAATGCTCACATTAAGGTATGCTATTCTTTTTTCTAAAATTGTGAATATTACTTGTTCACTGTAGCATGAGTCACTTGCTTTTTTTTTTTGCTGTCATTTTAGTAATGGGTATCGTTATTGTATTGATGTGCCCATAGTCCGTTTTTCCTATATCAGAGCTTCAAATTCGCACTGGTAGATCATGCTGGACTGGCAAATGAAAAAGTAGATCTTATATTAGAAAAGGTTGGCATCCCCAATCTATAGTATGCATCCTCACAACTGATATCTCATGCTTCGATCTGTATAATTACTGATAGGGGACAAAAAATGGAAACACCTGGGTAAATTAGGGACACCAAATATATTCAACGCAAGGGCTTCCACACTGTTATGACCCATGTCTTACTTAAGCAAATAACATCCCAGTAAGCTTATGTTCATGTATAAAAATGGTACACAGGCCTCGTTACCTAAAATTATGGGTAGCATGGCTGCATGAGGGTACCTCTGCTATTAAAAGAAAGGTGATTGTTGGGAGTGAGCTTGGCATGAGCTTCTGAGAGGCAGGAGCTGAACCTCCTGATGTTTGAGTATCATTCCATGATGTCAGTGGAAACCTGAGGAAATGACATCAGCCAAGAGCAAGAGTGGGCAGAAGCGCATACTCCAGGATTGTGATGTCTGTGTTAATTCTAATGCATGACAAGAGCAGATCAATTGACTCTGCATTTCAGCCTGGGATGTGGGTTTAATCGAAAATGGCCTGCCAAGTACTTCACAGAGCAGGGTAACGTAGTCAGGTTGCACTGCACACACTGGTTGTCACATTCACCCCAAGTTGAACCATTCTTTTCCTTCCAATGGGGATGTCTTCTTGTATGACAATGCCACCATCCACAGAGCATGTGTGGATGCCGAGTGGTTCGATTACCATGACACCGATGTTGTCCTTGTTGTAGCCTTCTTAGTCACAAGATCTGAACCCACTTGAGCATTTATGGGATTTTCCGGAGCAACACTTGACAATGTTTTCCACCTCCACCAAACAGGCACGAGTTGAGTTTTTCAGGGAAGGATAGTGCTGCATCACTGCATCTGAAAGATGTTGCATGCAGTTCATACAGGCTGCAAGATGTGACTCAACACTGGATGATGTGACTTTACACTGGTGTTTCCATTTGTTTTTGTCCATTACCAATCACTCTTTTTCTATCATTTATTTAAAATGAAAAATTTTTCCTGCATTTAATTTTAAACAAGTCTATTTGTACAATATGTATGATCTGGATATTGTTAGCTGTACGTAGTTAACAAAGGATTTCTAGTGATTGCATATTCTAGTCTAAGGGCCTCACAGTTGAGACTATTACATTAGATATAAGTACAACCATGCATGGAGAATCTTTATGGCAGTGAATAACATTAAGAAGTTAAAAATTGATTCTGACAAGACAAGAATGTTTTCAATGAAGAAATGATCATTTTTCCCAGTGTACCAGCAAGTTAAATTTATGACAATTTAGTTGCAATGGATTTTATCTTTTTCCTAATGTTATAGTCCCGCGTTTGCTGGTTAAAGTCAGGGCTTTCAAATTGACAATTCAGAAGCACTTACCAAATTAGTCTTCTGCTCGTTTTCAATATTCTGTTCAAGGATGTATTTTGTCTATCTGCTGGGGTGACAAATTGATCTTTTTCTGTTGGCAATTAGTTAATTTCTAGTCATTCTTGGCACCTTCCCTAATTATACTTTCATGGTTCTATAATAAACATGATGAGATTTTTCTCTTTTTTTCATACATCAATTATTTTGGCTCGATGGAAACCTTTTACCTATAATAAAAGCAAAATGCAAATTTATCAAACAGATGTAGAAGAAAATGATGCAAAGAATTTTGGTAGTTTTAATACAGCGTATTGTAAATGCGATTTTAATTGTGATGTTCAGTACAGTGTCTTGTACTGGTTGATCTGTTTATCAGCTAGACAGCAAATGCAGTTTATTTCATGACTATTGATGTGCACATGAGAAGTGAGCCTTAACAGTAAATTATGGACTGGTATCTGAGCGTTCTTCTAAGTTGAGGTGAGCTGAAAATGCTTTTGGATTTTTGACTGCCAGAGCCTTATTGTTGATTTGTAATACTGAGAATCAGTTTTGTGTGTTAATTGTCTTGAAGAGTTAAAGGGAATTAAAGCAGATTATCAGGCCCCAGCACCAAACTATGTACTATATATTGGCACACTCTTAAATGTACCCGTTCCTTACCATGAATGCTTTTGAAGTTATTCTTGTTGTAATTTGCTTTTTATTTTAAAGCACTTTGGACTGAGAGATGAAATGGTGTTCCCAGTTTGGTCCTCATTCACATTTTCTTATGGCATTGCTAAGTACTGTCTTTGCTATTGCCATTCTTTGATGCACATCTTTTTAAAAGTATTTAATTTATTATGATTATTAATGCACCTGTAATC